CCCTACAAATATAAACATGGGCAAAAAAAAAGAAAAGAAAATGTTGTTATAGAAAAAAAATAACCACATTCTCAAAATCTTAAGATATCTCGAAGAAAATGATATCGTGTTAAGCAGAATTCTTTATTTTCTCTGTTGAGTGGACACCGGGTATAGATTAGAAAATGAATAAATCATTCTTTCTCTTAAATAGTTATTAAACATTTAAACTAATTAAATTATATATATAGTTTTTAGAGTTTTGAATATTTATTCATTTAGTTTTTGGATTGATATATTTTACTTATATTGAAGGATTATATGTTATGATTTCTAATTTTAAGAATTACTAAAATGATTTGAAGGATGTAATAATTATTTAAGAAAGAGAGTGATATATTATTACAACAACAGTGCAGCGGGCCAAAGGAGAAAGATTTTGATATATTATTTGATAAATTATTACATTATTGATCGTGCAGAATGGAGTGATCATTGTGCCTAGTCTAACAACAACAGTGCAACGGGCCAAGGAAAAAGATTTTGATTTTTGACTGGGGCATCACTAGTAACTAGTAATCAATAATCATAGCTTAAAATTGCGATTCATGATCACATCATCCTATTGTACTCCATGCCATGGTCAATAAAATCTCTAATCAGTGTTGTACATCATTGAGAAAGTTTTTCCCAACTAGTATTAAACACAACTACTTCCATCATATTTTAATTATAATAATTTATGTCATGAATAATGCTTTAACATATAATTCTTTTATTAATTTATAAAACCAATTTAAAGAAGAAAAAAAATTTATGAAATCCAAAACATAAGGACATTGGTGATGAAAAGACATACACCTACTTTGACAAAGCTAACATTCTAACGCGTGATAGTAAATATTAAATTATTTCAATAAAAATATATTTTTATAATTAATTATGTCAAATGAATTTTATTTGAATATATTATATTCAAATTGATTTTAAAATAATTTATTTTGTTTTTATTATTTAAAAGAATATTTTTATAGTAAAGTTAATAAAAGAATGTATAACGGTTGTAGTAGATGATTTCACATTCGAAACAATTCGTTATCAGAATATAATTAATGTGAGAACAAATGTTAGCTAGAAATTAGTCTAATATCTTTTAATCACAAACTCTAATTTTTTATCAATAATAGAAATTTTTTTCAATATGATGAATTTTTTATCATTTGATAATATTTGCCAAGCATATTATCTTTTTTTAAATCTCTAATACTGAGTTTTTTTATGGGTAATACTCATGTGTTTAATTCCTGCATAAACATAAATATATAAATATATAAATTTAGAATTTAGGATTTAGGGTATATATAATAAGTATATTGAGTTTATTTTTAATCAAGACGAGTTTAAGATGAAAAAATTCAAGTAAATCTAAGTTAAATATTAGCAGTTGAATTGACTGAAGTTAACTCATTTTTAATTTTAAATCAAGGATATAATTTTAATAATTAAAAATAAATATTTATTAATTAAATTAAATTATAAATTTGAAAAATTAAAATTTGATGAAACAAAATTGTACATCGAAATAGATATGATATGCTTATTAAAAAACCTATTTAAAAGATATACAAAAATATATAAATAAATTAAAAGAAACTAATTATTTTTATTAAAAGTAACATAATATAAGATTAAAAATATATGAAACGCATAGAGAGAAGGAACAAACATGCGAAATTGCGGGATCGAGAAATATGAATAAACCGAATTCGAAAGAAAAGAAAAAACTTGGGACCGGCGCTTTTCCGCTGACACCCGAAGCAGCCTTGTATTGTTACAGTCACATATTCAATTCTCTGTCGCCTCCTCCTGCAAAATGCAAACACAAACAACATCACAATAGTTTTATTTATATTTTTTATTTACACAAATAAACGTTGTATAAAGATATATACTAAAGAATAAAATAGTTAAAAATATTAATAATAGCATAATTGTGATTAATTAAGTAAGTAGTTCCTCTGAGTCTGAGGGAGTATAAAGAAAAATCTGCATTAGTGGACAAGACACGATGTCCTGGTCCTGCCCACTCCACTCTTGAGCTCCAATCTCTAGACTGAACAGAACAGAGAGAAACAGAGAAAGAGAGACAATAGCCGTTACTTTCTGAGCATTGGAACGTTAGGTGAGTGAAAAAGCTTTCCAAAGTGAAACATCAAACTTCACACTTCACACTTCACACTTCACTCTCTCTTCTTCGTGCTTCCAACATCACTACACACCAATGGCCACTGGCTTCACCCTCTTCTTCGCGGCTTCACTTTTCCTCTTGCTTCTCGGTTCGTACCTTTCTTTCATTTCGATTTTTCCTTCAATTTCCTAACTTTGCTTCAAACAATGTCGGTGCTGTGCTCTGCTTCTATATTTTCCTTTCCTGTCTGATATTTAAACGCCACTACCAGAAACTAGATTTACGCATGCAGTTAGTGGTAGAATCTTCTTTAGAACTTGAGGGAGGGTGAAAAAATTGCTTTT